ACCGACTTGCCAAAACTATAGTTTGTTAACAAGAAATGTGTGGAGTGGTTGAAAAATGAGTTTTAATGACTCCAACCTAAGTGTATGTAAACTTCCGAATTCAACTATATGCAATCTTTATTTAATTTTACCAGACTGCGCCTCCGTTCTTTATTTGAGTTAATGATGGCGCGAATTTTGGATATTGGGATTGTCGTCGTTTTCGAGAGGGATGTAGGTGCTTGCAAAAGCCATATCCTCAGCATTTACGTTTTTATATGTATTTCAATAGTGAATGAAAATGGCTACTTTATTTGGAAATAGGCAATATTTTCTTACATTAAATGCTTATTATTACCACATAATGTTGATAACAGTAAATTAATAAGTTGATGCATTAGGCTAAAGCGTAGGCTGCTGATGAAAATAATTGTTGGCAAACATTTCATTTGATCCACATGGTTGGGAATTTATTTTGGAGTAATTTGATAATTACGTTAGATTATCATGGAATGGACACGTGACAATTACCATTACACATGGTGAGAGAAGGTGCTATATCGGCCTCGAGGTCGGATGATGGAAATGCGAGGAAGAAATAACCCAACCAAAACGCCTGGCCCTAATCATGCTGCCTAGACGGTTGGGTTTCTTAACAACAAAACTGATGAATGCGCATTTGCGCAACTGTGGATTACTGTTCATTTGAGAAGGGCGCTTTTGCAGTTCACTTCACGGGCCATAGCCTTGTGCACTTAATCGAACTCCCTGCATATGACCAAGCGGCGCAGATTACAGTTTGATTTGAGCATGATTTGCCCGGTCACGTGGCGGGCCATAGAACGGTGCAATTTGGGCCAGCTTGATCAAATCCCCTCATCGTCGTAGAAAGTAGGAGTGGTCCTGTCTGGGAGTAAATTTAGACTTATTATAAGTTATAACCATTAGTATATTTCAGCGAAGTCAGGGGTAGACCCATAGAGATGGATAGAGGACTCATCATGGATATAACCTGTGTTAGCTTGGACATTGCCATTGAGGGCTTCCACCATGCTGCCATCATTTTAAAGAACTGGGTGGGGATTCAGTGGCGCTGCCCATGCTGTCACAGATGCTATAATGGCACAGATATAAAGATGAATCCTCTATATATCTCTATGGGTAGGCCCGACTGGGTGGGGATAGTCGTCACCCCTTGACTCACTAGGACCCTTCATTCGGAGACTGCATCCTCACGCTTCAATCCTGGAAGTTCCTCTCGCCTGCTTCGTACATGCTCTCCATCCCACTTATGATACCAATGTAGAGAAGTCGAGGGCTATTCCTAACCGGGGCGAACCAGAGGATGTTTTTTCGACATCATTGATATACACAGAGAATAGAGTCGGCCCGAGATTTGAACCCTGTGGCACCCCCATAGAGACTGCCAGAGGTCCAGACAACAGGCCCTCCGATTTGACCACTGTTGTGTTGTCGGCAAACTTAATGATGGTGTTGAAATTGACTTGATTTCAGTTTATTTAGCCCTAACATTTTTAACATGTGCCGCATACCCCTCTTCCTCCCATTTAGATTTTTAGCTAGCGGTGACTAAAGTTAGCTGATGTTTGTAATGGCTGTTTAATGAAAACTGAACCATGGATTACATTTTCTCCCAGCCTATAGACTACTTTCAGGGTGAGGAACCATCTAACATTAATCTGTAAAATACTGTTCTTCCCCTTTAATTTAGTGAAACCTCATGTGGAAATATTAGCTTAGTGCCGCAATTTAAGGCTAAATGTATTTCAAACCTAAACAGGCATCAGTAATAATGCCTTTTTAAATAACAAGTACTTTTTCACAACAGGTTGTTTTTAGTGAAATAGCTGTTATATTATGTAGAATAGAAAAATAGAAATACAAGGAAACATCTGTATCACATGGCTTTAAAGCTCCAATTCTCTCTTCTTGATTACTACCATTAATCTTTTCTTTAATTCATATTTTACAACTCACAACTGGCCGTGATCGGGAGTCACATAGGGCTGCGCACAATTGGCTCAGCGTCGTCCGGGTTAGGGGAGGGTTTGGCCGGGGTAGGCTTTCATTGTAAATAAGAATTTGTTCTTAACTGACTTGCCTAGTTAAATAAAGGTTAAAAAAAAAAGGCTGCTTTTGACTATCGGGCATTTTGTCTGTCCACACACACATAGGAGAGGCGTAGTCTATTCATCTACAATCTCTCTGTTCATTAAGATGTAGGTTGAGTTCTTAAAGACGTTGCATTGCATCAACTAATGGTTGCATCAGATTGCTATATCATATGGGTTGAGTTCCCCTACTCACACGTTGTGCGCATCAACCAATAGTTGCGTGCCACGTCATCGACTCTGCAGTCGGGCACCAGATAGCTATAACATATGATGTGGTTAGCTGGCAAGCGTCTGCAATGTAATCAGCCAGGAATGCCACCAGGTGGCAGCTGGACTGTACTGTGTGAAGCACTGTGAAACATTAATGAGTAGTGAAACAACTGTTCACTGCTTTCCAATTGTCAGAATCATTGAACATGTAATATCCTATTCAATAATTTATTATTCACTTAGTCGTGCCTCACTTTTTCCATTGTGTCATAACAAAACAATGAATGATCTTCACACACACACACTCTCCTCCTCTCACCACCACATTACCCATTATAACAAGGTCAAAGATCACATTCTGAAATTAAACCAATAAACTTGTTTAATCAAACCAATAATCTGCTGTCAGTTCATCCACTCATTTTCACCTGGCTGATAAACTATATTCATATCCATTCACATTCTCTCTCTCCTCTCTCTCTCTCTCTCTCTCACACAGTATTTTCATCTGCCATATCCAGTAATCCTGTCTACCTTTTTTTTAATCACTTATCTGAACCATCTCTTTCTCTTTTCCTCTCTCTGCAGTTTCACACACAAAAAAAAATACTTTAAAATACTACTTAAGTAGTTTTTTGGGGTATCTGTACTTTACTTTACTATTTATATTTTTTGCAACTTTTACTTTTACTTCACTACATTCCTAAAGACAATATTGTACTTTTTACTCCATACATTTTCCCTGACAACCAAAAGTACTTGATACATTTTTGAATGCATAGCAGGACAGGAAAATTGTCAAATTCAAGCACTTATCAAGAGAACACGTGGTCATTCCTACTGCCTCTTGCCTGGCGGACTCACTAAACACAAATGCATCTTTTGTAAATAATGTCTGAGTGTTGGAGTATGCCCCTGGCTATCCATACGTTTTAAAAACAATACATTTTGCCGTCTGCTTATACTTTTACTTTTACTTTTGATACTTAAGTATATTTTAGCAATTACATTTTCTTTTGATACTTAAGTATATCTAAAACCAAATACTTTTAGACTTTTACTCAAGTAGTATTTTACTGGATGACTTTCACTTTTACTTGAGTAACTTTCTATTAAGGTATCTATACTTTTACTCAAGTATGACAATTGGGTACTTTTTCCACCACTGGTCTTACCCCACCCACCTTCCCTTCCTCCCTGTTCTGTTCTTTGTTTTCTCTCTAACTGATTTTCAAAAGCATATGCAAGAGCCCCCTCTTGCTCTTTCAATATTTTCTTCCCATCTCATTCATCCAGTTTTATTTCTGTCAGCTTCAGAATCGATCGATCACATTGATCAGGTAAGTTGAACGCTTTTGATTTTATATCATGTTTATTAATTTGATAATTCATTGGTTTCTTATTCATATTTGATGATTTCTGATCACTCTGACCTCCTTCTGTCTTTCTCTCTGCCTTTGTTGTTGATCCTTTCCCCAAATCTCTCCATCCTCTCATTTTCTCTGCTGTCCAACTCTACATCTCCTCCCAATGTCCACACGTTTCGCCCCCTCCCCTCTTGGCCACACCACTTCAAAACGTTGTGACCACACTTGATTTCTTATTTTCTCATTCTGTATACCACTTCCTAATTAAGCATGACTTAATATTTCCATTGATGTTCTTGCTTCCTGTTTTTTCACTATTGAGAATTGACCAAGCAAACCGTTATCTTCATCATTTAAGTTTTGTTCAAAAGTTTGTTCAAGAGTATGTGTTCAAGAGGATTCAGACTCCTGAGGATGGACATAGTCATTCCAATCCAATCCAACTTTATTTGTTTTATCAGTTGGAACAATGCACAGACACAATCAGTTGTCAGTTTTAGAAATTAATGCTGGTTTGAGTGTTGGTTCCTAATAGTTCTATGTGGGCCTGGCGACCACCACACAACTCAGCCAATGAAGCACTACAAAGATTATACTCAGAGAGAACAGATGGTGTTATATAGTCTATAGTTCTGCTTAATTACTTGAATTGAGTGGAATAGAGTGAATTGGCCATACAGTGGTTATTGACCTCTTATGTGTTTGCTGTTGTTCAGGAATGTAGAGAAGGTTAGAAGGCTTTGCAATGGTCTAAATCTGAAATTATTTAGTGTTTCTGCTTTCTTAGAAGTGCAAATTCAGCCATTTTGAATCTGCGATAGTAATGTATATGTTTAGACGGGTGTTCTTTTTCCTCTCATGCACTTCTTCTGCTAGTTGCATGCGTTGTCAAATGGTGGTTCAAAATGAGGGAGGATGCAGGATAGGTGGCTCTGCCACAAGTAGTCTTTAGTTCCTGTTAACACCGGTGTATCACAGCAGCTTCTGGAGCACACCGCCATTTCCTGTGTGTGTGTGTGTCAGTGCATGCATGCGTGTGTGTGCGTGCTAGCACACCTTTGTTTTTCCGTTGCATGAAATAAATCTTAACATAATAATAAATATTATTTTAATCAATTTAAGTCCCTTTTATTGTACACATAATATAGCAAATAAGTTCTAACCTACTTTAGTGTTCTGTTTCTTGTTCTCATTCACCACCTCATATGAGTCATTTAGGCCTATGTTACATTTCCTCCCATCACCCACCATGTTAGGCTGACATTACCTTATCATCCATTTATCTCTGTCTCTCTCTCTCTCAGTCACAATGAAGGCCGATATCACCCTGGCCCTGAGCATGCTCTGTCTGGTCCTCCTGATCTTCGTCCATGAAGCCATGCCTGCCCCTAATGGAACTTTCTTCAATGACACACTAACTGAAAATACGAGCGTGAGAGATGGACTTCTGAATGATTCCAGCATCTCCACTGACCAATCCACACCTGAGAAGCATGACAGAGGAATGCATGGTGATCATTCTGTCATGACAACAGACTCCCCGAATGGTACACCCACATCCACAGGGATTCAGACATCTGCAACATCAGGTAGCCCAACCCAGCAGACTGAAAATACCACACCACCCCCACCGACAAACCCTATCTCTCTTCCCAAGACCCCCCCCACCATCTCAACCCCTCCATTCTCTAATCAACACCCATCTGGTCAGTTAAGTACGGGGTCCATCGTGGTCGTGGTCCTAATTCCCATAATTCTTATCCTACTGATTATCGTGCTGTTCTTCTACAAGTGGAACACCCGCCACTCAGGCCAGGACAGCTCCGCCCCTCGGCTGTTATTGGGCATCAGAGAGCGCATGAGGGGCGGTGTTAGAAGCCTGGAGGATGGGCTGGGGCTCCGCCTCTGGCCAGGAAAGAGAGTGGTGGAGGAAGAGGGGGAGGAGGAGGGGAAGGGCGGAGATGGAGAGGCTGCTGTCGGAGTGAGAGGGGGACAGAGGGATGAGGATGAAGGAGATTCCTCAGACGACTACTCCAGTTTAGATGGGATTGACCTCAGCGAGAGAGCCAAGAACTTAGAGGATGAGGAGAAAAAGGAGGAGGCGGCGGTGAAGAGGAAGAGTGGGAGCGAGGGAGGCCAGGATGACATGAATGGAGAGAGGACTGATGGAAGGAAGGAGGGTGGTGAAGAAGAGCGAACAGGGGAAATCCCCGGTGAGGAAAAAAGCGAGGGGGAGACTTGTGACCTCACAGCACTCTAAGGGAAGAGGGAGGAAGGGGTTAAACTGGTGATGGGGAGGGTGGGACGAAATAGCAAGAGAAGTGTTAAAGATGTTAATTGTGACACAATTCACTCTTACTATTGGAGTATATTTTTTCATATAAGCGTGTCAATGTTAATTTCAGCCAAATATCGTTTTTTGGTAATCCCTGTTACATTTGTGTTTTAAATAAACTGACGGACCCCCTAATAGATTCCTGCTTATAATTTATATTACAGATGCGGCCAAATATATTGGCGCCTTTTGCACGTTTCACTATTTATTCTAAAATAACTGTGTTCACTGTGTATTTGTTTGATTTACAACTGCACCTGACCCAAAATAAATAAAATAACTGATATTGAAATTTGTCACTTCAAAGTCGAAAATGTCCTGGACTAATTTATTCTAAATTAAAATTAATTTGGTTGGAGGCAAGTGATTCTTGTTTATGTGTAATTTATCTCACCTGTGGTAAGTTGCAGGTGCTGTCTGGGTAAAAATATCCATTCAATCAGTTTAGTAAAGAGAAAACAGAACATTCTGCTCAATTGACCTCCATTGAAAAAGTGCAAAGGCGCCAATATACACTGAGTTACAAAACATTAAGAACACCTGCTCTTTCCACAACAGACTGACCAGGTGAAAGCTAGGATCCCATATTGATAGACTTGTTAAATCCACTTCAATTTGTAGATAAAGGGGAGGAGACCGGTTAAAGAATACTTTTTAAGCTTTGAGACAATTGAGACATGGATTGTGTATGTGTGGCATTCAGAGGGTGAATGGGTAAGACAAAAGATTTAAGTGCCTTTGAAGGTGACAGGTGCACCGGTTTGTGTCAAGAACTGCAACGCTGCTGGGTTTTTCACGCTCAACAATTTCCCGTGTCTATCAAGAATGGACCTCCACCGAATGGACATTCAGCCAGCTTGGCACAATTGTGGGAAGCATTGGAGTCGACATGGGCCAGCATCCCTGTGGAACACTTTCAACACCTTGTAGAGTCCATGCCCTGACAAATAGAGGTTGTTCTGAGGGCAAAAGGGGGATGGGGGGGTGCAACTGAATATTAGGAAGGTGTTCCTAATGTTTGGTATACTCAGTGTATTTGGCCGCAACCGTATGTGTGCAAGAGATAAAGTTTTCAGCGATTGTTTATTACTAAATGTGTTAGAATTAACTACTAATTATTAGGACTGACCCACAGGTCAACTGCACACATTTAGGGAAATATATCCTACATTACCTCTGGACTATGGAGGTTGTTGTTCAATTCCTGTGACAGACAGACAGACTGAGCAGACAGAGCCAGACATTGCATTAAACCACAATTAATAGCACATTAATACCACAGAGTCCATTGACATTCAATATGTCTTTATTCTTCAGGATTCTGCAACCCTATCCTCCTCAAAACCGCATTAGCCGGAGAAAATAAAAGAAAACCTCAAAACATTCCACTGATCCAGAACATGTAATCAGTCCATTAAATAATACTATTTTTTAAATATACATTTGTAAATATTATTTCCCCCCCAGACCCAAATATATGACTGTCAAAGATTTATAGATAGAGGTCTTGTGTTTTCCAAAGCTAGTTCTCACAATAGTAAGACAGGATGGTTGATGAAAGAGCCATGGATAAACAGAGTTCTGCAAACTGTTTCAGTTGAACAATGTGAATGGGTGCCATGTTGGCACCAGACCTGGGTTCAAAATCAAATAGTATCAATTTTCTTACAAAACCGTTGATCATTTGATTGAGCCTGACTGGTGTGCCAGATGGGCGGAGTTTGGACTTTTGGGACTATTCCATTGGTCCCATTGCGCCAGACAAGCTCAATCAAGCCGAGCTAAAGTTTTTGGAAGAAAACAAATACTATTTGAACCCAGGTCTGGCCACATGTACAATAGTTTACTAGAACTCTGTAGATCTGTGGTTCTATGTGATATGAGTAACGTTATGGTATGAGTGCATGTTTAAAATAAAAGGCTAATTCAACATCACTTCACACATAGGACTCATACATACGAGTCGGATTGCTTCACAGCTGTAATACAAGCTTATGTAGAAATGCGGTCGTTTTCATAATCAAAAATACTCTTATTTTTATTACATTAAAGATTATCTTTAGCTGAGTGTCTGTTTTATACAGTGTTTTTGGAAATGTGCATCATTCAATACTTTCATTTCTGCGTTATGACAATGATCACTAGGCTAAAATGTGCCATTTAAAGGTCGACTTTGGGCACGAAATACAGTCCAACTCCGCCTCTTTCTCAATTTTCAAACAGAAATGGGGTGTGCCTCTGGTGGTTCATCGATGTGTCATTCTGGTCATGCGCGCTTCGACCGACGTTGCTAGTTCGTTAGCTACGCTAGCCAATGTAGCTAGCCAGTAACTCCTCCAGTACGTGTGGATTTCATTTCACATGATTTGCTTTTGGACGGAAGCTGTAGAGATCAGTAACAAATGGCACTTCTGTAACCAAATATCTTATTCATCCATTTATTTGTATTTTTTTAAAGCATTAAATAACCTGGTATGATGGTGCATTGATCAGTTCTACAGTTTAAAGCTGTTATTTTCTGCCAAAGTCGACCTTTAACATTTTGATAATGGCAATGTCAAATGCTTTGGCAGTAGTTGGTATTCTCTTTGCTTATGTGGCAAGTTGAGAGAAATGTCAAGTGAAGTGGCTGGATCCCAAACTGATAACTCGACCCGTTCCCTAAACCCTTGTTGACTTCCCTTTGTAGCTGTGACAACTGGACATGTAAAAGCAGTGGCTGGCCCTCTGGTAGCATAGGCAAGGTTGGGGTCAATTCCATTTCAAGTCAATTCAGGGAGTAAACAGATATTGACCCTACCACTGGTAGGTGGTTCTGACTAGAGGGAGTACAGCTACGACCGGAAGTTACTTAAATGCAGCAGGTTAGGATCATTAACGTGGCAGGTTAGGAGACTTAGGTTAAGGTTAAGAAAAGGGTTAGGGTTAGCTTAAATGCACTCCTAACCCGCTACGAAAAGTCACGTCCGGTTGTAGCTATACTCCCTCTAGTCACAACCCTGGTAGGTAGAGGTGGGTACCAGCCCAGCACTAACACACCTGATTCTACTAAACTAATCATCAAGACCATGAGCTGAATCAGGTGTTAGTGCTTGGCTGGAACAAAAATCTGCACACCTTTTAGCTCTTCAGCTGATCACTAAGCTCACCCCATTTCAGATCTCAAAGGAATGAGTCAACGAGGGTATAGGGGGAAGGGAGCAAGTGTGCAGTATGGGGTTTGGGACTCAGCCTGTGAGAAACACAGGGCCCCCTGAGAACGGTCGCGATCCAGACTGACTACATAGCAGTCGTCTGCCAGATCTCACAACACCTGGATAAGTCTTAAACATATCAGCTAAACACATCGTATGATACAGCAACCAGCGCCCACTGTCGATGACGTGGCAATCAGCTATTGGTGGATGCGTGCGGCACGACTGCAAAGTAGTCAGCCTGGAACGCGGCCAAAAGGTCGGATTCCTCCCGACTCCGCCTACTCCAGTTCATCTCCGGTTACCCTTCTGCTTCTTGTTCCGGCCGGGTGTGCTGATTGGCTGCGTGGCGCCATTGTCGGTGGGCGGGGGTGTTGGCGGGAGACGGAACGAGGTCTGGGAGAGAAGGTCAGACTCGCTCTCTCCTCCCCCTGCTCCTCCTCTGGACTTGGCGAATGGCCCGGCGAGAGAGAACTTAATAGGACTGCGGAGAGAGAATAAGAAACATCATAGAAAGAAAAGGGGAGGGAGAGAGACATTAGATAAGGGCAGAGGGAAAAACATATATTAATAATCACATCTACATGGGGTGGGGTTGAGGTGTGTGTATGTACAGTGTGTATGTACAGTGTGCATGTATATGTGTGTGTGTGTGTGTGTGTGTGTGTGTGTATGCACACACTCCCCTAAGTATTTATTTGGACAGTGAAGATAAATATTTTAATTTGGCTCTACACGGCAGCATTTTTGATATGAGATCAAATGTTTCATATGAGGTGACATTCATTTAATTTGAGGGTATTTTCATACACATCTGTTTTACCGTTTAGAAATGAAAGCACTTTAAGTATCTAGCCACCCCCATTTGAAGGTGTAAGTATTTGGACAAATTCACTTATAGTGTATTAAAGTAGTCAAAAGTTTAGTATTTGGCCCCATATTCCTATCCCACAATGACTACATTAAGCTTGTAACTCTACAAACGTATTGGATGCATTTGCAGTTTGGTTTTGGTTGTGTTTCGGATCATGTTGTGCTCTACAGAAATGAATGTTAAATAACAGTGTCATTTTGGAGTCACTTTTATATTAAACAAGAATAGAATATGTTTCTGAACACGTCTACATTGATGTGGATGCTACCACGATTATGGATAATGATGAGTGAGAAAGTTAGAGGCATAAATATCATAACCCCTGCCAAAAATGCCAACCTTATTGTTGTTGGTAATGGTGAGAGGTTAGCATGTTCTGGGGGTACAGCGCCTTCAGAAAGCATTCACACCCCTTGACATTTCCCAAATGTTGTTGTGTTACAGCCTGAATTTAAAATGTAGTATATAGAGATTGTGTCACTGGCCTACACACAATACCCCATCATTTCAAAGGGGAATTATGTTGAGATATTTTTACAAATTAATTGAAAATGAAGGCACTAAAGTAAAACTGCAAAAAATGTTGCAAAGAAATTAACTTTATGTCCTGAATACAAAGCGTTATCTTTGGGGCAAATCCAACAACACATGACTGAGTACCACTCTTCATATTTTCAAGCATGGTGGTGGCTGCATCATGTTATGGGTATACTCGTCATCAGCGAGGACTAGGGAGTTTTTTGGGGATAAAAATTAACAGAATAGAGCGAAGCACAGGCAAAATCCTAGAGGAAAACCTGGTTCTGTCTGCTTTCCAACAGACACTGGGAGACAAATTCACCTTTCAGCAGGACAATAACCTAAAATACAAGGCCAAATCTACACTGGAGTTGCTTACCAAGAAGACAGTGAATGTTCCTGAGTGGCCTAATTACAGTTTTGACTTAAATCTACTTGGAAATCTATGGCAAGACTGGAAAATGGCTGTCTAGCAATGACCAACAACCAACTTGACAGAGCTTGAATAATTATTTTAAGAATATTGTCAATTTTGTAAAATTATTTAATCAATTTTGAATTCAGAGTGTAACAACAAAATGTGGAATAAGTCGAGGGGTGTAAATACTTTCTGAAGGCACTGTATGATCTTTGTGCCTCTAGCTGTAGATACTGTAGCTAGAGATATGGGACCAAATACTAAAATGTTGACTACTTTAATACACTAAGTGAATTTGTCCAAATACATGTTCAAAAGGGGAGACTAAACGGTAAAACAGATGTGTGAAAATACCCTCAAATAAAAGGTGGCATTCTGTACTGTCGCCTCACATGAAACATTTGATCGCAAATCCAAAATGCTGGAGTATAGAGTCAAATTAAAAAAGATTTAGCATCAGTCCAAATAAATACATTTGTGAGTGTATTGCCGTGTATATATGTGTGTGTGTCACCTGATGGGGGTACGTGGGCTGCTGTTGTGTCTGCGTACAGGACGTGTCCGTGGCTCAAAGGAGAAGCCCTCCTTCAGACTCTCCAACACAGAGGGAGCCACATAGGTAAAACCCTGACAGAAAACAACAACAATACCAGCCATTAATGATATAGGTAGACTAGTCATTCTAGCAACACTTCCACTACTCTATTTTGTGGGGAAAGACCAGAATAAGAGGTGTTTTGTCACAGGTGAGAACAGGGTCGTGTTCAATAATACTGGCAACTGAAACTGTTTTAAAACGAAAACAACCTTTTCTTATTGGACTAGTCCAGGTAGCCCCTCCCTGCTTCAGTCCATTTTGTTCCATTTAGTGCCAAATGAACATGACCCATGTGTGAGGTTGAGAAGAAAGAGTGAACCCATGACAGAGAGAGGAGGTGAAAGGAGGAGGAAAATGACTGAGGGAAAAGATGAAGGGAGCAAATGGAGAGAGACGAAGTGGTGAAAAGGTGGATGAAGAGGTAATCGTGGTCCCGTGTGGCTCAGTTGGTAGAGCATGGCGCTTGCAATGCCAGGGTTCTGGATTCGAATCCCATGTGTGACCAGTATGAAAAAAGTTTTCACTCACTACTGTAAGTCGCTCTGGATAAGAGCGTCTGTTAAATGACTAAAATATCAAACATAATCGTCTCACAGCGAAGGCGTGTTCGTGCTGGTGGCTGATTGTGGAGTCGTCAGGACTGTCCACCGGAGTCTGCTTGGTGAACCTCGTGTCAAACTGACTCACGTCCTCATCCGACTGCTACAGAGGGTGAAGAGAGGAGAAAAAGAGAGGAGGCAGGGGTTGAATGGAGAGAGAGAAATGGTGGGAGAAGATAAATAAATGTGGGGAGATAGAGTATGTTTACGTGCACTCTAATAATTAGATATTAAACTGATTATGGCAGTAGGCCGAGTATGGCAGTAGTCATGTAAACACTAAACTCTGCTTATCTTAAATCGGCATAAGGTCAAAATCGAAGTAAGCATACGCCGATTAAAACACCTGGTTTTCTGAGCATTCTTTAGAATTAATTGGCATTCCAGCTGTGTATTTGATCTGCGCATGTGCCAGCAGCGCAAGCCTCCGTCTAATGCGCGACTGAAGTGAGTTTGGAAAAACAATGTATGCGTCTTATAAAATTGTTTTCACATACAAACGTTATATGTCCGAACTCAGAATCGAATAGACTTCCAAAAATAACATGGTCGCTGTGGTAGAACGTTTATTTTGATAGGCGATCGTTCTTCTTGCAAAGCATGTGAACGTTTTAAACGAACTATTATATTAATTTGACTATCCACAATAATCATATTATAATGTGCATGTAACCGTGCTCATAGAGCGGGATGCCACAGTTTCAACTTTACAGGTACCTCCTCAATTATTTAAAAAGACCCAGCACAGATTTGATATTTTAGCTGTTGAATAAAAGGTGCTGTTGAAAGAGTGACAGTAGAATAGTGGGTCGTACCAGGCATGGCTTGTAGGGCGGCTCACACCTCTTATTCAGGAGGTCGTCCCAGTTGATGTGTCTGAAGAAGAGATGCTTCTGTAAAACCAGCAGAAAAACGCTGCACTTAGAATCCATCCCTGTACAGTGCGCCATTGGATTTGGTTCAATTGCTATCACTATAAGCACTGATCATAACAAAGCAGGGTTAGGGTCAATTTCATTTCAGTCAATTCGAGGAGGTAGAAATGTCTGTTTACTTCCTGAATTGACCCCAAGCCTATTACAATGCTTTATGATGTCAATAGAAAACAAAGAGAGATGTGGAGAGTGGAGTGAACGGGAGACGTGTGTGTCTATCACCTGTATGTCTTTACAGTCTGCCGCACTGGAGCCTAACCTCTGAGAAGGACTCTTCTTCAGCAGCTACAGAAAGGAGAGAGAGAGAGAAAGAGAGAGAAAAAGAGAAAAGGAGAGAGAAAAAGAGAGAGATAGCGAGATAGAGAGCGAGCGAAAAAGAGATGGAAAGAGAGAGAGATAGAGAAAAATAGATGAGAAAGAGAGAGAAAGATGTGAAAGAGAGAAAAAGAGATGGACAAAGATGGAGGAAAAGAGAGAAAAAGAGATGGAGAAAGAGTGAAAAATAGATGTAGAGCGAGAGAGAAAAAGAGATGTAGAGAGAGAGAGAAAAAGAGATGTAGGACAGTGGGTGAAAGAGAGAAGGACAGAATGAGAGAAAGAGATTGAGTCTTGACCTCTATTCTTAGGATGATAACTGTTCTTAAACCTAATGAGATGGGGAGGGGTGGGTGTCTTTACCTTTTTGATCATGTCTCGGGCGTCTAGTGTGAGGTAGGGCGGTAGGTTGAGTTTACACTTCAAGATCTTATCAATGGTCTTCTTCCTGTTCTCAGCAGTGAACGGAGGCTACGGGGGAGAGACAGGGAGAGGCAAGAAGAACACAGAGGTTTGAGTCAAACGTCTTTCAAATGCTATCCAATTGGTTTATAATAGTGGCTTACTGTACTTAACATTCCTAATCAAAATCAATAATTATCCCAATAATGATTCCTTCATTCATTCAGAAAGTATTCAGACCCCTAAACTTTTTCCACATTTTGTTACGTTACAGCCTTATTGTAAAATGGATTCAATTAATTGTTTTCCTCATCAATCTACACACACTACCCCATAATGACAAAGTGAAAACAGGTTTTTAGAAATTATTGCAAATGTATTAAAAACAGAAATACCTTATTTACATAAGTATTCAGACCCTTTGCTATGAGACTCAAAATTGAGCTCAGGTGCATCCTGCTTCCATTGATCATCCTTGAGATGTTTCTACAACTTGATTGGAGTCCACCTGTGGTAAATTAAATTGATTGGACATAATTTGGCAAGGCACACACCTGTCTATATACGGTCCCACAGTTGACAGTGCATGTCAGAGCAAAAACCAAGCCATGAGGTCAAAGGAATTGTCTGTAGAGCTCCGAGACAGAATTAGGTTGTGAAACGGATATGGGGAAGGGTACCAAAACATTTCTGCAGCATTGAATGTCCCCAAGAACACAGTAGCCTCCATCATTCTTAAATGGAAGACGTTTGTAACCACCAAGACACTTCCTAGAGCTGTCCGCCAGGCTAAACTGAGCAATCAGGGGAGAAGGGCCTTGGTCAGGGAGGTGACCAAGAACCCAATGGTGACTCTGACAGAGCACCAGAGTTCCTCTGTGGAGATGGGTAGAACCTTCCAGAATGACAACCATCTCTGCGGCAGGGACTGGGAGACTAGTAAGTAATGAGGGAAAGATGAACGGTGCCAAGTACAGAGAGATCGTTAATGAAAACCTGCTCCAGAGCGCTCAGGACCTCAGACTGGGGCAAAGGTTCACCGTCCAACAGGACAACAACCCTAAGCACACAGCCAAGACAATGCAGGAGTGGCTTCGGGACAAGTCTCTGAACGTCCTAGAGTGGCCCAGCCAGAGCCCGGAATTGAACCCGGTCGAACATCTCTGGAGAGACCTGAAAACAGCTGTGCAGCGACGCTCCACATCCAACCTGACAGAGCTTGAGAGGCTCTGCAGAGAAGAATGGGAGAAACTCCCCAAATACAGGTGTGCCAAGACTCAAGTCTGTAATCGCTGCCAAAGGTGCTTCAACAAAGCACTGAGTAAAGGGTCTGAATAGTTACGTAAATGTAATATATTTCCGTTTTTTTATTTTTAATACATTTGCAAAAATGTCTAAACCTGTTTTTGCTTTTTCATTATGGGGTATATCTGTAGATTGATGACAAAAAATAACAATTTAATCAATTTTCGAATAAGGCTGTAACGTAATAAAATGTGGGAAAAGTTGAGGGGTCTGAACACTTTCCCAATGCACTGTAGGCGCATCCTTCCCATTTCTTCTCTAAAACTCTCGCTCTCCTCTTTTTCTCTTGCTCTCCTCTTTTTCTCATCCTACACCCCATCCCTCCTCTCTCTCTCTCCCGCTCACTTCCCCCCCCCCCCTCCCCTCTCTTTCTCTCTCTCCCGCTCACTCCCCCTCTCTCTCTCTTTCTCTCTGTCTCTCACCGAGCCCGTCATCATGTCATACATCAGGGCTCCAAGACTCCACCAGTCCACCGCCCGGTTGTGTCCTGTACGCGTCAGAATCTCTGGAGCCCTGAGAGAGAGCGAGATGGAGAGAGAGAAAATGTAAGAAAGAGGGGGAAAAGAGTGCAGGGGATAGAGAGCGCAGGGAAGAGACACTTCAGTAGAAGAGTCGAAAAGGATTTGCTGTGATCCGATTCTCAACCTTCTCCTAGAAGTGTGCACTTTTCACTCCCTTTCATGGATTGAAAGAGAATGGACTGATACCAGTCAGTTGCTAGGTTTCTATCCAATTGGCGACAGATTTTCATGCGAATAGTCTGCTTAAAGAAAATATGCACGGACTCTACCAAATCAGTATGTGATGACGTAGTGCACAAAAAGTCATTTTTTGCTTACGTTTTCATGTACCGAATTAAAATCTAAAGTTCAATGTGTTGCCACAGCATTTTCAACTCTACCGACAGTTTTGTCATAAAAACTGCAAATGTGCCTACTCTGGTCTTGGCACATGCGCTCACAGGCCTATAGTGCAGGTAGGCTGTGTAAATAGGCTAGTCTACATGATGAGATTATATTATGGATCACATCGAGAATATTTGTATTTGTCAAACGGCAGTCAAGCATTGATCATCATGTCACCAGAATCAGACTCTCTATATTTATTGGAAAGGAGCATCAAGATCACTGTGCACTTTCACCACCCTGTGAAGTTCCTCATAAGTCATTTCATCTGTAGCCTAATAAACTGCATGGTTTTTAGGAGTCGTAGTGGGAGGACCACACACCATTACATTTCATGACTCCAAGTTTACTTCAATATGATGGTTATTATATCAATATTTGCACATAAAGGCATTTCCACTGCCATTTCTCGTATAATTAATTTTACAGACAGAAAAAGATCACACCATGTCAAACAAACAAATTATCTGTCAGCATTTATAAAATTGTACCATTATAGCCGTCGTGATTATTTGTATTATACTGTATGACTTTACTCGCATAGCAACTGTGGATAAAAACGTGGTTAGTGTAAGGAATATGGTGGAAATGTCACACTAGGCCATGCAGCCCATGGACAAATGTAACGGTTTTAAATCCACACTTGACTTCGGGGAGGAGGGGGAGAATTGTACTAGAACCAGTTACAGTGAAGGAAAAAAGTATTTGATCCCCTGCTGATTTTGTACGTTTGCCCACTGACAAAGAAATGATCAGTCTATAAATTTAACGGTAGGTTTATTTGAACAGTGAGACAGAATAACAACAAAGAAATCCAGAAAAACGCATGTATAAAATGTTATAAATTTATTTGTATTTTAATGAGGGAAATAAGTATTTGACCCCTCTGCAAAACATGACTTAGTACTTAGTGGCAAAACCCTTGTTGGCAATCACAGAGGTCAGACGTTTCTTGTAGTTGGCCACCAGGTTTGCACACATCTCAGGAGGGATTTTGTCCCACTCCTCTTTGCAGATCTTCTCCAAGTCATTAAGGTTTCGAGGCTGACGTTTGGCAACTCGAACCTTCAGCTCCCTCCACAGATTTTCCATGGGATTAAGGTCTGGAGACTGGCTAGGCCACTCCAGGACCTTAATGTGCTTCTTCTTGAGCCACTCCTTTGTTGCCTTGGCCGTGTGTTTTGGGTCATTGTCATGCTGGAATACCCATCCACGACCCATTTTCAATGCCCTGGCTGAGGGAAGGAGGTTCTCACCCAAGATTTGACGGTACATGGCCCCGTCCATCGTCCCTTTGATGCTTAATGTTTCCACCTTAATGTTTCCACCTCCATGTTTGACGGTGGGGATAGTGTTCTTGGGGTCATAGGCAGCATTCCTCCTCCTCCAAACACGGCGAGTTGAGTTGATGCCAAAGAGCTCAATTTTGGTCTCATCTGATCACAACACTTTCACCCAGTTCTTCTCTGAATCATTCAGATGTTCATTGGCAAACTTCAGACGGGCATGAATATGTGCTTTCTTGAGCAGGGGGACCTTGCAGGATTTCAGTCCTTCACGGCGTAGTGTGTTACCAATTGTTTTCTTGGTGACTATGGTCCCAGCTGCCTTGAGATCATTGACAAGATCCTCCCGTGTAGTTCTGGGCTGATTCCTCACCGTTCTCATGATCATTGCAACTCCACGAGGTGAGATCTTGCATGGAACCCCAGACCGAGGGAGATTGACAGTTCTTTTGTGTTTCTTCCATTTGCGAATAATCGCACCAACTGTTGTCACCTTCTCACCAAGCTGCTTGGCGATGGTCTTGTAGCCCATTCCAGCCTTGTGTAGGTCTACAATCTTGTCCCTGACATCCTTGGAGAGCTCTTTGGTCTTGGCCATGGTGGAGAGTTTGGAATCTGATTGATTGATTGCTTCTGTGGACAGGTGTCTTTTATACAGGTAACAAACTGAGATTAGGAGCACTCCCTTTAAGAGTGTGCTCATAATCTCAGCTCATTACCTGTATAAAAGACACCTGGGAGCCAGAAATCTTTCTGATTGAGAGGGGGTCAAATACTTATTTCCCTCATTAAAATGCAAATCAATTTATAACATTTTAGACATGTGTTTTTCTGGATTTTTTTGTTGTTATTCTGTCTCTCACTGTTCAAATAAACCTACCATTAAAATTATAGACTGATCATTTCTTTGTCAGTGGGCAAATGTACAAAATCAGCAGGGGATCAAATACTTTTTTCCCCTCACTGTAGGTGAACTCAGTCCTATCTGAACTCTGAATACTATAGCGACCCCTACTGTCATTCACAGAAAGTGCAGTTTCAGAGAGCGACAGCTGACTCAGAGAAAGCATCCTCATCTCAAATCAGTGTGGTGCTAGACTCACATGTACTCTATGGTCCCACAGAAGGTGTGCGTGACTGCGCCGTCATGAATGGACTCCTTACACAGGCCAAAGTCAGTCAGCTTGATGTGTCCTGGAAGACAGAGATATAATATCTGTGTCAATTGTAAATTATAACAATAAGCCAATGGATAGCAGATCAATTATAAAACAATATATACTATATTCATCTCACTGATATTGATTTCTATGTAACAGACAGACAGACACACCTTGGTGGTTCAGCATGATATTCTCTGGTTTCAGGTCTCGGTAGATGATTCCGTTTGAGTGGAGGTGTCCCAAAGCAAGCACGATCTCACCCAGATAAAAACTATTTGTCAAAGAGGGAAAACATTTATTAACACTCCTCCTCTTACGCATGCACAACACATACTGTCAAGCTATTGTTCTCATATTCTTCTCCTCCTCTCTTCTACAAATGTTCACATGGAAATTCACTGCTGTTTATGGCCTCAGCCTCACTCTTGTATCCTTTCCCAATGATAACCTGAAGCTAAGCATCTCCCTCTCTTACCAGGCAGTGTCCTCCATGAAGATTCCTTCTTTCTCCAGCTGCATGAACAGTTCTCCACCTGATAAAGAAACAAAAACAATACGATTAAGGAGATCGAGCGATACAAGTGTCTGTTGAAGTGCCAGGATTCAGAGATAGACATGGTTGTCCTACCCAGATCCCATCTCTTCCTCCTTCGCTCATGAGGTCAAAAGTGTCTGTTGAAGTGCCAGGATTCAGAGATAGACATGGTTGTCCTACCCAGATCCCCTCTCTCTCCCTCCCTCCCTTCAGGATGAGGTTGAAAGCATACAGCAGGTCCCTCTCCCTCCCTTCCTACCTCCTCCCATCCATCCCTCTCCATCTCTCACCACTGAGACACTCCAGGATGAGGTAGAGTTTACCCCCGGTCTGGAAGGCGTACAGCAGGTCCACAATGAAGGGGTGCCGCACCGTCTCTAGAATCTCCCGCTCTGCACGCGTGTGGGCTGTGTCCTTGGCGTTACACACTATCTTCGCCTGGCAGGGAGAGAAAGAGAGGGATGGGTGGAAGGAGGGAGGGAGGTGGAGATAGGAGATAGTCAGTTGTGTATTTAGAGATTTTACATTTTGCCCTGGTACCGTAGCAATATTTAGAACATTCTTTTGGTTGAGAAAATTGATTAAGAGGAATCGTATGTACCTTCTTTAAAACCTTCATGGCGAATATCTTCCCCGTCTGTGCACCCTGCACTTTCCGTACCTGGAAAACCTGCAAGTAGAAATACAATTGTTAAATAGGTCGATGAAAAACGGGATGAGTTTCTGATCAAGAGCTTGGTGTATTCCAAAGTACATTGTGAAACTGAAATTCTTAGAAACGCAAACACGCACTGGTTGACTGACACACACAGATGCACGCACACACACACACCTTGCCATAGCCCCCCTTGCCCAGCACACTTAGCAGCTCAAAGCTGTCTGGTCCGATCCTCTCACTGTCTCTGTTGACAATGGCACTGGTCAGCTCTATCTCTTCTGTCTGAACACTAAGAGAGTGGGGGATAAGAGAGAGTGAGGAAGAGGGGAATGAGTGAGGGTGAGTTTATATGATTCAGTGAAAGATATAGGCTCAAGCAAGAATGGTGGACAAAGTGACTAAGTTCAGAGTTCCACTTACGGGTCTGTCTCTGCTACGGTGAAGTCACAAACGTCATCCTACAGAGCACGGGGGACAGAAGAGAGGGGGTCAAAATTAATTCACTGTAGACAAGTGAAGAAGGGTCACTGCAGATAGACTGAAGATAGCATAATTTAATATCACAGAACATGAATACATACAGTGCCTTGCAAAAGTATTCATCCCCCTTGGCATTTTTCCTATTTTGTTTCATTACAACCTGTAATTTAAATGAATTTTTATTTGGATTTCATGTAATGTACATGAATTGGTGAAGTGAAATGAAAAAAGTAACTTTTTTCAAAAAATTCAAAAAATTAATAACGGAAAAGTGGTGCGTGCATATGTATTCACCCCCTTTGCTATGAAGCCCCTAAATAAGATCTGGTACAACCAATTACCTTCAGAAGTCACATAATTTGTTAAATAAAGTTCACCTGTGTGCAATCTAAGTGTCACATGATCTCAGTATATATACACCTGTTCTGAAAGGCCCCAGAGTCTGCAACACCACTAAGCAAGGGGCACCACCAAGCAAGCGGCACCATGAAGACCAAGGAGCTTTCCAAACAGGTCAGGGACAAAGTTGTGGAGAAGTACAGATCAGGGTTGGGTTATAAAAATATATCCAAAATGTTGAATATCCCACGGAGCAACATTAAATCCATTATTAAAAAATTGAAAGAATATGGCACCACAACAAACCTGCCAAAAGAGGGCCGCCCACCAAAAGTCACAGACCAGGCAAGGAGCATGGTGTGGGGATGTTTTTCCATCGGCAGGGACTGGGAAACTGGTCAGAATTGAAGGAATGATGGATGGCGCTAAACACAGGGAAATTCTTGAGGGAAACCTGTTTCAGTCTTCCAGAGATTTGAGACTGGGATGGAGGTTCACCTTCCAGCAGGACAATAACCCTAAGCATACTGCTAAAGCAACACTTGAGTGGTTTAAGGGGTAATATTTAAATGTCTTGGAATGTCCTAGTCAAAGCCCAGACCTCAATCCAATTGAGAATCTGTGGTATGACTTAAAGATTGCTTTGCATCCAACTAGAAGGAGCTGGAGCAGTTTTGCCTTGAAGAATGGGCAAAAATCCCAGTGGCTAGATGTGCCAAGCTTATAGAGACATTCCCCAAGAGACTTGCAGCTGTTAATTGCTTGTAAAAGGTGGCTCTACAAAAGTATTGACTTTGGGGGGGTGAATAGTTATGCACGCTCAAGTTCTGTTTTTTTGTCTTATTTCTTGTTTGTTTCACAATAAAACATATTTTGCATCTTCAAAGTGGTAGGCATGTTGTGTAAATCAAATGATACAAACCCCCAACAAATCCATTTTAATTCCAGGTTGTAAGGCAACAAAATAGGGAAAATGCCAAGGGGGGTGAATGCTTTCGCAATCCACTGTATTTTGTTTTGGGGATTCTAGCTGCAATTGTCTGGGCGTTTTCTTCACTACATTGAACACTGCCCTGATCTGACACTCTGATAAGAAGTTAGTTAGGTACCCTAATTTACTTCAATAACAAAAAATGTCCTCAAATCCCCAACCAACAAGTGACAAATCCACACCTCTGCATCGCTAAGGTCTTCCGACTCCAGGTCAATATCGAAAACACCAGCCATCCTGCGGAAGAAATTTTAGCTTAGCTATGTGTGATATGTCATTAAAAACACAACGACCGAGAGCTAGCAATGTGAAACACGCAGTTGTTGTTGTTACTAGCTAGCTAGCTATGCCTGACAGTTGCAAATACTAAGCAGCTACACTGTCAAAGTTGGACAAGAAGCTGGCGTTATCTAACGTTAACCTAGATGGGATCTAGGCAGGCTAATCGGTTTTATGGGTAAAGTTTATGCATAAGGGAACATTTCTTACTGGGCCCGCGGGCAGGGAAGGCAATGCTAATGCTAGCTAGCTAATCCTGTTGAGCGTTGTCAACAGGCATGGTTGGAGATAGCCGACTAAACTCAACTCGATTTACGATGGAGTTGAGCGGTGACTAGTCTGGGGGGACTCGAGCCAAGACGTCACATACAACGACGTTATTAAAAACGAGCTACTGATTTCATCACCCAAAGAATATCCAGCAATTGTGTAATTGTGGGCTATTCTTTGGGTGCTGAAATCAGTAACAGTTGTTATTTATTAAACTTCCGCCCACAGCCACACTAGTCGCCGCTCACCTCCATATTAAATCGCAGAGTTGAGTTTAATCGGCTATTGGAGAGAACCAGAGTCAGAGAGCTAGCCAGCTCATGTGAAAGTTCAGACTGTGTTGGAATGTCGTAAGAAAAGAGAGAACCAAGTTTGTTGTGTCACTTTTGCTAGTTAAATGACTAAACTGACTGTATCAAATGGAAATATATATTTAATATGTAACGGTTCGTGATCACTTCGGTTTGAGAGCTGGTTTGACAGCTAACGTTAGCTAGCTAAGTTAGTTACGTTTACTGCTTAGCTACGACGACTCGCAGGTGATAAGGTAACGTTCGTTAGCTAGCCTAGCATTTCACCTCGGCTCATATACCTGGCTTCAGCTTCATTCGTCGTGACCACTGAGTCAGTGAGCTTTTAAGGGACCGAGGTTTGCTGATTCCACTTTCCTTGCTGTGTCGCTCCCAAAAGTCTCGTTGGACCTAAACTGTAGTTATAAATAAGAATACGATTATCTTAAAAAGCTGTCTGTCACCTCGCTCTGGTCCTTGTTGATGTTCTGTTGTTTGTTTCTCTTGGCATGTGTGATTGAACTGTGACCTTTTTTTTTAGCTACGTCATCAGTAAAAGACTTGCGATTGGCTGCTTTCTTATTTTATTTTATAGCAATACATCAATTTATGACACTGCTTTTTTATTTTATTATAAACAAAACATAACAAACAATATACAATGTAAAATCACAAATACAGCAAGAGACGTACATGAAAAAAAGTTAATAGAAAAGTGGACATGGGGCATTTTGACAAGCGCAGACATTGGTCAGAAAGGCAATTCCCATTGGGGAAAAATAGCATTCCAGCTTTACAGAAGCTGTTCAGGGGTCAGGGACATTGTGGTCTCTCCACCAACTGGCTTTATCCCAGTTTCAGTAACCTGGGGACAAGGTTTGGGACATTGTGTATGCGGCCCTGTCACCCTATTATAGAGCACCCCATAGGGCTCTGGTCAAAAGGAGTGCACTATATAGGGAATAGAATGGCAGGTTTTTGTTATTGTACGGATGACAATGATATTTACATCTATTGAGACTTTGGAGACAATTCAACTATTTTATCAAACTGATAGAAAAGCAACAAAACCTAACAAAAAATAAATAAATAAAATACACTCCAACAGATGCGTTACCTAGCCTATTTGAAAGTAACACGCAATCTTTGTTTTCCTCATTGTCTCTGGCGTTGTCTGTTTCAATAAAAGGCAGTAGCTCTTTTGCTGGTTTTGTTTCCAGGGTAAACAGAAGTGAGAGAGAGAAAAGGTCACTTAGGCCTACAGCCTACACACCTCTGTGGGCGCAGCTTCCTGCAAGACCAGTCCATAACACACCAGCTCAAATCAAATGTTATTTGTCACATGCGCCAGATACAACAGGTGTAGACCTTACAGTGAAATGCTTACTTACAAGCCCTTAACCAACAATGCAGTTTTAAGAAAAATAAGTGTTAAGTAAAAAAAAGAGATAAGTAAAAAATAATAATAAGAAGAAGAAAATTGAAAAATAACAATAATTAAAGAGCAGCAGTAAAATAACAGTAGCAAGGCTATATACTGGGGGTACCGGTACAGAGTCAATGTGCGGGGGCACATTAGTTGAGGTAATTGAGGTAATATGTACATGTAGGTAGAGGTAAGCAGCTGTTGTTTCACCTATGAGAGTACAACACCTTACCAACAGCAAACCATCACACTATGCATGCTACCACTTATGAGAAAGTTTTTTGTTGTGTTTCAAGGTATGACGCTGAAGGTTTGCAAATGGCTGATAACACTTTTTTTTTTATAAAGGTGGTCTACATCTGAAAGGAAGTGGAACTTTCACGGAACTAGTGGTTTTACCAGTGTACATGAAACTGTCCATTGTCAGACTGCAACCTGTAACCAGTGACCTGTAATTCTGCTAGTAATAGCACACAGAGAATGGAATCTCTTTGGTTTATCTTGATGATTTGTGAGTACATTTTATTGGAATTTTAGAGGGTCTTCTTAATGAATAGCCTGATTTGATTATACACATTTCTTTCTTTGACTGTAATAGAAAATAGCCTAATGTGTTGTAATCTATCAAACAGTGTTCATCGTCAAGCCACGGCAGTCTGTGGAGTCTGTGTTTCGAGAGGTCCAGCTTGGAGATACTGCCATTTTGTCCTGTGATATCTCTTACCATTACGAGACAACCTGGTTGAAGCACAATCCTGATCAGACTCCTGCCGTTGTGCTGTTTGCGAGTCTAAATGGTGGAACTATAATCTATGGGTACCAACACAATCTTCGTTTCGAGGCAGACATTTCCAACAGGTCATTGGCATTGAAAATCAGGACCGTTGAGAATGCAGACCTTGGATTGTATTACTGCATGGGAAAGGTTGACAAAATGATGATGCTTGGGGGAGGAAGCAGACTTCATGGTAAGAGGGGATTTTTGCTAATCAAAACCATACGTGTATTTTTCACAAAATACCATGTAATACCATGTTTATTCTCACATTAATCTTGGCACCCAGAACCAAATCTGACTTGCGCTGGCCAGCGACTCAATTTAGAATATAACATTTTAATTGTTAAATCTGTCACAAGAGAATATTCTCACATCTAAAACATTCTGCCTCAGAGGCCTTATGTTCAGTCTCTCAAACTGTGACCTTTGAACTTTACAAACCTATTTATCATCACTGGTGGTACACCTAGTCATCAACCAATCTCATAAGTTATTTATGTCACTATTTTTCAGTGTCTGGCCTTGAAACTATAAATGAATCTTCTACCACTTGTGGACAAGGTAACATAAATCTATAAACTAAATGATATTACAACTTAAATACTGTTATACTGCATGCAACACTAACAAAATGAGCCATGCAAATTTCCTAATGTAGCATAATATCAGCAGGTAAAGCTACCCCTGCCTCCCTCCTATACTTCTCATTTTAGCTTCGCCTGCAATGTCTATTGGTACCTCCGGGCTATCCTTCTTTCATCTGCATGCAGCTGCAGTTGGACTGGGTCTGGTGGGGATGATACTGGCAGTTTGCATCACTCATCACAAGACCAAGAAAAGAAACATGACAACCTAAACGCTCCGGTCCAAATAAGCTGCTCTGTATGCTTGTCTTGCCCAGTGTGTTTCAGTGTCTGATTACAGTATAATATCTGAAGAAACCTGAATGCCATAGTCCTACAGCATGAATTTTTTATTATTATTTATCTTAAGACAATTATATTATGGTCAAGAGCTCTGGAATTTGGGTCAAGTTTATCAGGAAGGAAGGAATTATTTTGTCTCAGTGTGTAATATTTCCTGCTGCAAATTTTGTTATTCGGATTTGTATTGCTCTTGGGCTTTGTGAAATAAAAATAAATAAAGACTGCATGAGGGCCTGGTCTACAATGTGACTTTATAATAAGAAAAGGAGCTAGACTTTTATACTAACTTTCACCTACTGTCCGTCCCACCTCTGCAATTTAATCTGAAATACAAACATGTGTACCGGTAGTCTGTACTGTCATAGACTCCCATGTAAAATCTATTTTTTTCAAATTTCAAAGCTTTCAATACAATCTCTATGGGTGTCTGTGGGCTTGCACTTACGCGCTTTCGTCATACGTGACGTAACCATGAACGTAACTAAGAAAATAGCGGCTAGCAGCGTCTCTGTTGCGACCTGCAGTGTGGCGTTATCTTATGTTTTTAATTTGTACACTTAGTGGCGTTATTTTATGTTTTTAATTTGTACACTTAGTTTACAAACATTCTGCCAACCATGGATTTCCAGTGGTGGGTTTTGGACTGATCTTGTTGATCGTGTACATACCCGCTACGAACGGACTAAATAATGAAAACGCTGCTGGCAGCGGAATCCAATACAGCTGGGAGACTTGGCTGGATGACAGAGTCCCGTACAGAGAAGTGGAGCCGGCCGGCTTCACCCTGGTCAGAGCGGACCGCGATCTGACACAGTCACAGGGAAAATCGATCCTGGTAAGAGAGCGACTCTGTACCCCCGACATTGAACTGCTTTCTGTGTCACTGCGACCTTACTATCTGCCCCGTGAGTTCCCCCAATTGTTTGTTACCGTTGTGTACTGTTGATAATCACAAGTTTATTGGAGAACTGAGACCAAGTAGAGACTTTGGACAGGGTGGATATGGTATAATAAAGGCCGTTTATTCAGAGGTAAAGATATCTGGAATCGCGTGCACGGACTCGTTCGTCAAACTCTTAGGGAGCTATCTGAAGAGAGCCCCGAAAACATTGTGTGCAGACATTTTATACAATAAATGATGTAGGTTGAATCTAGTAGTTCTGATCTTCTGATTGGTCCTGATGAGTTGGGCGAGGTCCCCTCCACTGTTGCATTGGCTCTGAGTCGGGTTCTCTGTCTTCAAATGTTCAGCCTAAAGAGAGGGGATTTTTGTGTGTGTGTGTGTGTGTGTTTAACAGTGATGATGTGTGTGTGTGTGTGTGTTATCAGTGATGATGTGTGTGTGTGTGTGTGTGTGTGTGTGTGTGTGTGTGTGTGTGTCCTCAGAGCAAGAACTCGTGAGTTGGAAGAACTGAGAGACCTATGGCGTGGGTGTTGTCCTTGGCCACCTGCTGACAAGGCTGACAAGATAGGACTCTTTTGTCCATTGTTATAGGATAGGAACAGCATTGATTGAAAACAAACGCCCAACACAAAATGGGTCATGCACAAGATTTTAGTCAGACCAAGCTATAACATTATATATTTACTACGACAGTACATTCAACCAAAAGCTAATATAACAAAGGCATCAGAGATTATTTATAATCTGTCACAGAAACTGGAATCCATCTCCCCAGATCAGTCAATAAATGCTTCTGGTATTGACTTATATGCTGCCCCTGTCTTCATGTTGTTGCTGGACATATCTTTTTTAAAATGTGTGTAGGTCACCTAAATCATCAGAAAAATTGCCCCTCCTGAGAATTTTTTCAGGAGCCGCCACTGGTCTGTACACTACAAAATATTTTAGCAGTGAGTCGTTGACTCTACACTGTCTATGGAACAAATCGATGAAGTAGCTGGCCAACGCTCACGCAATACTTGGTTCTGTGTGCTGTTGTAAAGCTAGCCAAAAAAAATCGAAGAGAAGACAGACACCTGTCTGCCTAGCTAAGTGTCAACAGTGCTCAGGTGAGTTATAAGCAGTTTTAGATTGAGTTAATGTGTAAATATGCTGTTTCGTAATGTCGCTTAGTTTAGCATGTTTTTTTTCTCCAGCTATCCAACAACGTTGATAGATAGCTAGCTATTGAGCATGCAAGCGTTTAGTTAGCTACCTCTACTAGCTAGCCAGCTAACCAGCGAATGTTAGCTAATGTCACCTAGTTTATCATCTTTTTTTTTGCAGCTATCCTCGCCGGGCCAGACGTGTATAGCCGTAACGGACATTAAAAAACTAAACAATCACAATACAGTAACTATTGGTCACTCTATTATGTATTATTCTAATATGTATTCATGATAGAATTGTCAGTTATTAATGAAAATGTTAATGATAAACCTTTTTTACTGCACTCTAGAGAATTGTAGGCCTAGATATCTTACAAATGTATTTACATATTTACAGACTGTGTGTGTGAGAGAGAAAGGGGAGAGTGTGTGTGCATGTTGTGTCTTATTTTTTCCTTGTCAGCCACCCATCTCTGCATTTCTGCATCATAAAAAGCTGAGGTCTGGAACTCCCTCCAGTTCATCTCTCTCTCTATTCCTTGGCCTTGGTTGCCTGGTTTTTAATCGCTACATTCATTCATTGTGGAGAACAAACATCCGTTTGGCCAGAGCGATGTGGATGGGTAGCCAGGGAATGGCCTTGGTACATTAAAAATACTTTTGCAGGACAATAAACATATTTGCCTGCCACTCCTGGGAACCCTGTACATATACAGTGGCTTGCGAAAGTATTCAACCCCCTTGGCATTTTTCCAATTCTGTTGCCTTACAACCTGGAATTAAAATTGATTTTTTGGGGGTTTGTATCATTTGATTTACACAACATGCCTACCACTTTAAAGATGCAAAATATTTTTTATCGTGAAACAAACAGGAAATAAGACAAAAAAACAAAAAACTTGAGCGTGCATAACTATTCACCCCCCCAAAGTCAATACTTTGTAGAGCCACCTTTTGCAGCAATTACAGCTGCAAGTCTCTTGGGGTATGTCTCTATAAGCATGGCACATCTAGCCACTGGGATATTTGCCCATTCTTCAAGGCAAAACTGCTCCAGCTCCTTCAAGTTGGATGGGTTCCGCTGGTGTAACAATCTTTAAGTCATACCACAGATTCTCAATTGGATTGAGGTCTGTGCTTTGACTAGGCAATTCCAAGACATTTAAATATTACCCCTTAAACCACTCGAGTGTTGCTTTAGCAGTATGCTTAGGGTCATTGCCCTGCTGGAAGGTGAACCGCCGTCCCAGTCTCAAATCTCTGGAAGACTGAAACAGGTTTCCCTCAAGAATTTCCCTGTATTTAGTGCCATCCATCATTCCTTCAATTCTGACCAGTTTCCCAGTCCCTGCCGATGAAAAACATCCCCACAGCATGATGCTGCCACCACCATGCTTCACTGTGGGGATGGTGTTCTCTGGGTGATGAGAGGTGTTGGGTTTGCGCCAGACATAGCGTTTTCCTTGATGGCCAAAAAGCTCAATTTTAGTCTCATCTGACCAGAGTACCTTATTCCATATTTTTGGGGAGTCTCCCACATGGCTTTTGGCGAACACCAAACTTGTAAGCTTATTTTTTTCTTTAAGCAATGGCTTTTTTCTGCCCACTCTGCCGTAAAGTCCAGCTCTGTGGAGTGTATGGCTTAAAGTGGACCTATGGACAGATACTCCAATCTCCGCTGTGGAGCTTTGCATCTCCTTCAGGGTTATCTTTGGTCTCTTTGTTGCCTCTCTGATTAATGCCCTCCTTGCCTGGTCTGTGAGTTTTGGTGGGCGGCCCTCTCTTGGCAGGTTTGTTGTGGTGCCATATTCTTTCAATTTTTTAATAATGGATTTAATGGTGCTCCGTGGGATGTTCAAAGTTTCGGATATTTTTTTATAACCCAATCCTGATCTGTACTTCTCCACAACTTTGTCCCTGACCTGTTTGGAGAGCTCCTTGGTCTTCATGGTGCCGCTTGCTTGGTGGTGCCCTTTGCTTAGTGGTGTTGCAGACTCTGGGGCCTTTCAGAACAAGTGTATATATACTGAGATCATGTGACACTTAGATTGCACACAGGTGGACTTTATTTAACTAATTATGTGACTTCTGAAGGTAATTGGTTGCACCAGATCTTATTTAGGGGCTTCATAGCAAAGGGGGTGAATACATATGCACGCACCACTTTTCCATTATTTTTTCTTTAGAGTTTTTGGAAACAAGTAATTTTTTTCATTTCACGTCACCAATTTGGACTATTTTGTGTATGTCCATTACATGAAATCCAAATAAAAATCCATATAAATTACAGGTTGTAATGCAACAAAATATGAAAAACGCCAAGGGGGATGAATACTTTTGCAAGGCACTGTATGAGGGCTGTTGGGGCCCTGTTTCAGCTCCAGATTACAAAACCTGCAGACTTCCTTTTGGTCATTCATTTTAATCAGAGAAATATCCAATAAACCAAACTGTTGCTTTCACTGTGAATGTACTTTATTGCACACAATCCTCAAATTAAATGGAGCATACATAAAATAAACAATGTATTTACATTGGATCTAATGTCTATGTGTGTGTGAGAGACAGAGAGAGAGTGAGACATGTTTTTCAACTCAGAAAAAAGCACACTGAATTTCCTCAAACTGTACACATTATCAATCACACTTTGATTTGATAGATATTTAGAGTAATTATGTAGATATTGATCATGGATATCTAGGCGTAGATACAGTGGGGGAAAAAAGTATTTAGTCAGCCACCAAGTGTGCAAGTTCTCCCACTTAAAAAGATGAGAGAGGCCTGTAATTTTCATCATAGGTACACGTCAACTATGACAGACAAATTGAGAAAAGAAAATCCAGAAAATCACATTGTAGGATTTTTTATGAATTTATTTGCAAATTATGGTGGAAAATAAGTATTTGGTCACCTACAAACAAGCAAGATTTCTGGCTCTCACAGACCTGTAACTTCTTCTTTAAGAGGCTCCTCTGTCCTCCACTCGTTACCTGTATTAATGGCACCTGTTTGAACTTGTTATCAGTATAAAAGACACCTGTCCACAACCTCAAACAGTCACACTCCAAACTCCACTATGGTCAAGACCAAAGAGCTGTCAAAGGACACTAGAAACAAAATAGTAGACCTGCACCAGGCTGGGAAGACTGAATCTGCAATAGGTAAGCAGCTTG